TGGTGATCAGATCTGCACTTACCATGGGAAAGGGACAGGAGGTGTACCCAGAGTTTGTATCCATGCTCTTGTTAGCCTCTGGACCTAGCTTTTAGTACTGAGATGGCAGCCCAGATCAAAGTGGATTTCTCAATAACAGCCAAAATAATGCTGGCAATTACTAGAAAAGCTAGTAAGGAATACAATGTAAAACTAGATGCATACAGTGCTTTTCTATCTGGAATACTGTCCACTCTCTTGTTCCTGGAAAAAATATAGCAAAACCAGAGGAGAGACATGGGAGGGCAGCAAGAAAGAGTGAAGCTTTGAAAGGGCTTTGACAGAAGGAACAGATGGCCTCTTTGGCCTGGAAAAGAGAGGACAGTGGATTCACAGGTGTCTCTAAAATCATGGAGAATGTGCATAGAGAACATGTCAGGTCCCCTAAAGAAAATCCTCTAATAGCTGTTGACAGCAAGAAGTGCAGGGTCTTCCTGTGTCAGTGGCTACAGGTTGCTGAAAGTACCCTGGAGAAAGAAATGTAAATGTCTCTGTTTGGAAACTTGTGGGAGAGGGAAAGAAGTCACCCTCCTTTTTAACATCCACTATTTGACCACAGCACATGGGAGGAGAAATGCAGAGCTACCAATAAATGCAGCCTTTAATCCTGTGCCATAAACCCAGAATTCAGTTATGCCTTAGTAATCCTACTGCCTGCTGGAACTACCTTGGTATGACACTGGTCTCCCCCCATTTGTGTACACATGGTTCTGTGACTTGAGCTGTGCCAGTCCAGGTAGCAGGAATGTAACTGTACCAGTTAAAGGTACAGTGACACATTTTCCCTCTTAATGTGGTTATGCTGGAAGGAATGCAGGTGCAAAACCAAGAGATTTTACAAGTATTACAGGATGAGTCATAAAAGAAATGGTGCCTGGAACTGACAATTGCACCCAGCACAAAGCATTATAGCACCAAGTGAAAATTCTGTGCACAGACACAGGAGCTGTAACACTTCCAAGCTTACTGGCTCCAGGTATAGGAAAGCTAATATTAGGAAAAAAAGCCTATCAAGAAAATGGGCATGTAACATGAGCTTGGAAAGCAAGTGGAAGACCCACCAGTGAGTTATCTTTCAGAGATTGTATCTCATGGATGGGATAAAGGTCTTGTCAGCAGCAAATGAGGGACTGGGAACCAGCCTTATGTTGTGATGCCTGGAGCAGCACAGTCCAGGCTTTCAATAGCCTGTGGTCATAGCTTAAGGCCAGTCTAGATGCCCCTGCTTTCCTTAAAGCTGTCTTAAGTTTCACAATTAAGTATCACAATTTCCACTTTTATATGCAATGAAAAACATTTTCAGAATCCTGCAGCAGAAGTGGTGGGTTGTGAACAGACAGGACTGAACAGACTGCTTTGCTAGCTGCATCCAAAAAAGCAAAATTATACCAAGGTAAATAGGTCAGTTCACAGGAGGAGTGTTGCACAGTAGAACAGAAAGTGAAGTGTAAAAAAAAGCAAAAACAAAACAGTTATTTTGGTGACAGGGCTGCAGGTGACCTTATTGGCTTTAGTGCAAGTGAAGGTTCATGTTAATAAGGCCTTCCTCTTCCCCTTTGAAACTGCTTAATGAGATTGAAAATTCTAGACTTTCTTCCTGCAGTGAAGTCACTTTAATTGAGAAAGTGCCATTTTAAACCCTGTAGGCAGGAGAGAGAAAACATTTGTTGCAATTCTCTTTCCCTAAGGACCCCTTACAGAAAATGAAGAATCTAGACACTTACCTCAGTGCATACCAAAAAACCCAGAAAGAATAAGCAAGAAAAGCACAGCTGTGCTCTTTTCAAAACCACCTCACTTTTGATTTTTTACATGCAGATTTGAATACCTCTTTAATTTCGATAACACTTTCGAGATTCATGATGACAGTGAGGTGCTGAAGAGAATGGGAATGTCCTTTGGGCTCGAAGCAGGCAAGTGCTCAGCTGAGGACCTAAGAACTGCAAAATCACTGGTGCCAAAAGCTTTAGAAGGCTATATCACAGGTAAGTTAGATGGGACTTTTAAATGTTGTTCCAGATCAAATCCATAACCTTGGTTAACTGAAGCAAATTTAATTATATTAACCTAAACATTTGAAGTTTTATGGGACCTAGTAGGGTTGGTATATGAATCAGTTGTTTTGCTGTTAATTCTGGAAGCTATGTCATAGTTGTCCTGTAAATTTAATTCACACTGATTTATAACAACGAACTTCTAAGTGAGCTGCATTATGAAGAAATTATTTCTTAAATAACTAAATTGACACCAAGAACAGATTTTCATGCATTAGTATTGATTTTGAATAACTGGATGTATGGAGGAGCAAACTGGAAGAAGGCAGCTCCTCCCAAGTTGAGGAAAAGGAGAGAAAAAGAGCATCTTGAACGGGTTGAGTGTAATCCCTCAGGTGCCAGCAGATGCCATCTGAGAACTGAGCTCTAACTAAAGCAAGAGGCTCTGAAGGCTTTGGGACAGGAGTCCCATGCAGAGGCTTTTACCTCCCCTGTTTGAACTGGTCATGCTTAAACAGACTCAAACCTAAAAGTCCCTCAGCGTTGCATCACTGGATTAGAGCTGCTAAAATTTGTCATCACTTCCTTTAGTTATTGTCAGAGTATGTTCTTCTTGCTCTACCCACAGCTTGAACTTACCCAACATTTTCTCAGGTTTCTCGAGGGACTTTATCTGTAAAGGAAGTGTTACCCAATGAATTCCTGTGTACAGACCTTGGTTTGTGAGCAGAGGGAACAAAGCTGTTGCCCTGACTTCTCTGGTCTTGTTTAAATTGCAGTAGTATAAAACTGTGTCTTCCACAGGAAGGTTGGAAACTTCAAACATTTCACTTAATTTTTTTAAAACTTCCCTAAAATTGATTTCCTTCAGTTGGCAATATTTAATCTTCATATCAGGATCTTTAAAATGCAGGCTTTATATTAAAAAAAAAGGCCATTTTGTTTGCTAATAGAAATATAGTTAAGTGGTCAGGAAGTTGAACACATGTTTTTGTATTCTTGATTTAACTGTGTGAAAGAATTAAGAATGAAACAATTCCTTAAAATTTGTGATGTCAAAACACTGGTGGATATAACTTAAATTCACTTACATTCAGTCAGATTAGTACACTTTAAATAGCTTAACATTTCAAACTACATCAAACGTGCTTCTGTTTATCAACACTTGTTTGTGTTTTCCTGGTCCTCTTGTCCTGTGCATTTTAAAACTAAGATTTCATATTTTAATTTTGGTTGATTTTGAAATTACGCTCCAAGTCTTTTTAAGACAGCACTGGTACCAAAAAGAGAAGCTGAAAGAAATCTTGATTTGTTCCTTGCAGATTCTTTCAACTACAAATTATTTACCATCAGCAACGTAAGAGGGGGAAAGGAGTAGAACCCACATCTTTTTAATAGTGTTGCAAAGTAACTTAACTTAATTGCTCTGATGTGTCCAGGATCAAACTAAAATTTCTCTTTAATTTTAAGCCTGTGTTAATTTACCTTCAGAGAACAGAATGGTTTTTTACATTTGCACCAACCCCTGTGTCATTACACTATTTACTGAGTATTTCCCTAGTAGCAGACCAGCAGCCAGGAACCCATAGAGCCTTTAATTCACAGGAAATGCATTGGTTTTAGTTTTCACTCAAATTGCATTGAGGTAATGGGTCACATCCAGACGTGGGTTACATTCAGCTGTTTCAGCCTCTGAAAAAATGAGCCCAGAGGTGCTGCTACCAGCACCTGGACATTTATTTTAAAGGCTTCTTCTATCTGTTGTTTGCCATGTAATTACACAACACTAATCTACAGTTAAGATATGAATTGCACAGTAGTGGTTTCTAATGGCAGTAAGTGACAAATAAGGGAAACAGACTGAAATGTTTTGCACAGTACCTGAAAATCCAGCATTTGCTTGCTTATTTATTTTTGGTTAAGTGTGTAACTTTCCATTTTAACCTTGGGAGTCTTTAAACATTGTTTCTTACACTGCAGGAGTAGTGAAATAAAAGGGTCCTCACTGGTTTCTAGAATCCATGGTTACTTCTACAGCTGTCATGATGACCCTTTTAACTACATTGGCTTCAGTTACTACTATACAGGAAAAACAAATCAAGGTCTCCTATTTATTCCCCAAGTAAATTTATTGTGATCAAGATTTATTACAATCACAGTAGTCACTCCATGAACTCAACTGCTGTAGAAGCCAGTCCTGTTCTAATATGTCTAAGTAGGTAAGTAATTTCCTGTGCAATGTTAGTTTGACCTTTGCCTGGTCATTTTTTCAGATAATTCCTGACTTCCAAACACTAACAATAGTTTGTACTGTGATGCTTGCCAGTAGAACTTGAGGAGCAGTTGGAAGAATCCAAGTCTAAACCAGTTAGATTAAAGAAACTTAAAATAGACAAAAAACCTTGGACCATCTCAGCTTTGAAAAGAAATAACTTTCTATTTGCGTTAAACAGCCAAATAAATTGCTTGGAATCGTTGAACTGATGATGTGTGCATCAAAACCTTATTAGTGTATTTTCTTTTCAGGAGGATCATGTATTTTAGCCATTCTTCAAGTGCCCAAATTTTAAAAGTAGTGTCTTCTAGGTTTGCTATCAGTTTCATGATGTCTTAGCAAAAAAAGTGTTGCATTTTTGTAATATGCATTTTAAGTACTACGTTGGTGTGATCCCCAGGTAGGACTGCCATCGAAATCACCCAAAGCTAAGGCATATTAACATCACAGAGTAATATATTCTGTATATCTTAAATTTGTTTGTTACATGCTTTTCTGTTGCTTGACTGTCCTAACTGACAAGGTCTAAAACAGGACACTTGCACCAGCTTAAGATGCATTCCAGTGCCCCAGTCCTAGTTACACATTCCTGCCCATTTCATTTTGAGCCAGGTACTTTCCTGTGTGCTCTTCCTGAGCTGATTCCAGGTACTAAACTACAGGCTTTTTGTCTGGCAGAGGAGTTTCTGACAATTAAACAAGTAGAACTCTCCAGCCAAGGGCTCAAACCAGAACAGCTCAAGTGTGAAGGAGGGAGTGAGGTTGCTGCATGACCAGAAATACACCACTGACTGAGACAAGCATGAACTCGTAGAACCATATCCAGAGTAACATCCTGTGCCTTTTGAGCCATGCACATACTACAGGCAGTTAATGCAAAACCAAGTTAGTTGAGTCCTGCCTCCTAGAAATGAGACTACAGATAAAAAAAGGCAGGCAATAAAAGTTCTGAGGCACTAACAGTTGGGGTAACAGCATCCCACTTTGTGTATCCCACTAAGGCAGTGGGCAGAGAAAGTGGTGCAGTTTAGGACCTCTAGATTACAACACTTCTTTTTTCTTCCCTGCACAAAGAAGTGCTCTGCTACTTACCTGTATAATAAGCCTTGACTGGAAGATGGGCTGGAGTTGGAACTACAGAGCCAAGAGTACCCCCTGACTGAAGGAGTCTGTTGAGCCATCAACAACAATCCTGTGCAGCACTTGTACAGTAACTACTAAAGCTGCTCAGGGTATTGCTTTAGAGCCTTCTCATGGAAAGTACAAATTTCTACCAAGGGTATCTGCTGCAAGATATGCCTAGTTCATAATAGGAATGCCACTCTTAGATTGGACTGTATCACCTCAGGAAGGTTTTTCCAAGCTGCTTTCCCTGGTTCCTAAGTGGAGCTATTAGTAATTGATTTACACTGCTAGAAGAAATAAGTCTTTCATTGTAGGCAGATTTCTATTTTGACAGACTTTTCTATACTGGAAATGGCTTCAACTCCCTGTCTTTCACAAACTTCCTTTTTTCCCTGGCTCCCCAGAGCCCACTGAAAATTAGAATTTAGAAATATAAGGCAATGGAAATACAAGGCAGGGATATGCATCTATGAACCACCTTTCTGCCTTGTGCAAAAGCCACACTTTCTTTTACCTTGCTCTTATCCAAAAATGTTAATAAACCACAAGATTACTAGCAGTGTCTTGTTATTATTCTGGAATATGAAGCATGTACACACAGGTACACTCCTTCATAATACCAGGAAACAACACTGTGATACATCTCTGTTAATCTAAATACAATGCAGTCATTCCAAATGGCTTAGCCTCCTCCTGCAAAGATAGGGGGAAGCTGTCAGAACATGTTCTCTGTAACATCAAACCTACATTTAGAGCAATCTTAGAGAAAGCCATCCAGCTATGTCCACATTTAACTATCCTCATCTATTCTGTCCTCCATAGATCACCCTAAAACTGCCACTTATTAATGTTTGCTGTCACGTTCCAAGGGCTGCTGGCAGGGACACCACTCTTGCTGGCCTTGCTTTGTGACATGTCATTAATGCCTGGCTGCTAACAGGTTTCCACAGCACAAGATAACCTGTGGATCCATCCCAGTGCATGGTGAGCCAGTTTTACAGGGCTGTGTCTGCCTGTCCTAGGCAGCACACTGCCAAATCCCAAGGAACCAAAGCCTAACAAGAAAGTAGAAGGACAAAGGAGAACCTGTATGTAACAAACACATTTAATTATTCCTCTTACCTGCTCTTAGAGAACAATTCCAGATAAATATGAGCAGTACAATCCCACTGTGCTGTACAGAACAGACGTTTGGTTAGGAATAGAATTAATAGTAAGGACTCTGACTGCTGGTTAATGCATCCAGCTGGAACCACATGCAAGCACCATGGAAAAGAACTACACAGTCTTGGTAGCTTTGTTTTGATGTTAACTTTGTGTCGGATGGAATTCGGGCAGGTCAATAGAAATACCTTATCTAAGAAACAAATTAAAAACAACCTCCCACCCAGAAAAATCCCACAAGTGTAATTGGGTCAATGGACTTGTTTTGCTGATTCTCTTGGCAGAAATGTGTGTAATTGGAAACAACTGACAGGAATTACTTGTTAGGGAATTTGAAAACAAGTGCTATGAGGGTTGTAAGTAACCTGTTCATGGCCCTCAGGGGGCTTTTAACAAATTACCTGAAGAAATTCAGCATTAATGCAAGACCATTTTAATGGTCTTAACCCTAACACTTCCTATCCCCAGGGAGGAGACAGCCTTACATGTCACACATACAATGTACAACAGGCTTTCTCTTCCCTACTTTTGGCACAAGACCTTTGCCATGGTCTGTGCTTGTCCACAGCCAGCTCTGTCTGTGGCAGATGGATTAGGATTAGGTAATATTTCTGCACCACAGCCAGCCAGGAGAGCACCAGGAGGAAACTGCCTTTGGCCCCAGAACACACACAGCCAACACAGCCCACCTGGGTGACTTCACTGCAGCACCTCAGCCCAATAAATACAGTTGCAGTTGAACTTCACCAAGCAGAGCAGGAGCTGTTGGGGCATTTCATGGGGTTGGTCTGTAGCAGAAAGTCCCCATGAAGGACTCCAGAACTCCTGTTTCAGTACCTGTGACTCCATATGGCTGCCAGCCAGGTGAATCCTCTTCAGACAGGGGGAAAAGCTTCAGAGAAGTAGGCATAACTGTGAGGGGGGAACAATGCAAGGCTTGAGTGCATCCACAAACACAGGGGTTAAGTTCATCTTGATTAACTAGGACACATCTACAGTATAAAACCAACTTGAGCTACTGGTACCTTCTAAACTAAACTATGGAATCCTAACTGCAAAGTTTAAGATTGTAAAAGGAAGAAAAAAATTTAAGTAGCTATCATAAACACAGTTATGCTTTCTTGTAGATATGTCTGCAGGATTTTCATGGATAAACCAAGGGTTACTTTCAAGTTCAGCACAAGCAGTTTCACACTTAGAGGCAGCTGGAGGCACTTGCAATGCTAAATCAAGGTAAATTAAATAATTTTTTATTCAAGGGTAGTTATATATGCTTGTGGTACTTTCAGTAACCTCCTATTTCATACACTTTCATGAATGAATTGAGATGTTTTCTTATTATGGTTGATTTTGATTGTGAAAAAGTCTCTAATTCTGTCTTCCTTGATAATTATATTTGAAAGGTCAAATCAACATGCTTTGAATTTTGAACATACCAGCTATGTTTCTTAAGAATAGAATCACTCTGAGCCCTTTTTCTTGATTAACCTTAAATTCCTGCCTGGGCATGGCCTACAAATAGGTAATTACATGTGGATATAAGGCTGGTAATATTTCTGCAGAATGCAAAAGAATGTTTAGTGTCTAAATGCACTACTGCTTAAGCTCTCACGAAACAAGTTTAGTCCACAAAGTCTATTAATAATTTAAATTATAAACAAACAACCAAACAAAAAAACTACTATCAGTAAAAACCCAATCCAAAATACATCTCAACAGCCATACTTTGCTTGGAGGTTACCTGTACCATAAAAAAATGGAAGTAAGGATTATTCTGGAACAGGTTCTTCATTACAGCGTTACTAGCTTCATTTCATATTGCATTTTGTGCATTGACTAAACTGATGGGTTTCTTCTTCTTTAATATTTCTTCAGCTTGAGCAATTCTCCTAGTTGTTTATGGGAAAAAAAAAAGAGACTCAATCTTTTCTATGCAACTTTACAATGGTTTATCAGTTTTCACTGTATCACTTCTGGATTTTTCCTTGTTGGCAGCATTTCTTTGACTAAAGGAAAAGCTGAGGCCAAAAAAAAAGGCTTAAAACCTCATGAGAAACCCTCTAAACTTGACCATTTCTGTTGTTTTGATAGTGAGAATGCAGGGTTGTGTCTGGATGCTGAAGTGGCCTTAGCAACTGGGCAGCTCGTTGCCCTGAGCAGTCAGCAGTCCAGCAGCGCAGCGTCCCGGGGGGAAACGCCCTGCTCCTTCAACGATGAGGATGAAGAGGATGAAGATGAGGATTCTTCCTCCCCAGAATGAGGATAGTAGAAAATGGAATATACAAAATGCTGCTCAAATATTCTTAATGGGAGTTCCTGTTTGGATTTTACTGGTTTCTTGCCTTGTTTTGCACTGTGTTCAGTGAAGCAAAATGGACGCTTCAAAATCAACTTATTCATAACGGAAAAACTTTTTGTAACTGAACACAGAGTGACATGTAGAGACAGAGCAAAGTGGGTTTTATCAGCTAAAACTGAGGAAAAGAACAAAGTTCTCGAAGATTTGGCAAAGCAAACCCCAAGTTTACCTTTTCCATTTTGGGACTTAAGTCTCTGTCTTCCCCTTGTCTTTACCAGATGGAGAAGAAAACGGAGTCAGTCAGCAAATGCCAATTCTTGCATTGTCTTTTGGCTGTGCTGCCTTTAGAAAAAGGGGGAGGAAGAGCACATGCAAATGCGCTAAAAAAGCTATTTAAAACTATCTTATATGAAAATGGTTATAGGGAAAAGGGGCTGCTAAAATGTTTGCTTTTTTTCTGTTCAACTTGCTGTGTAGAAGATTCTTAAAGTAATACAAATTGCAAGTGATTAAATGGATCTTGAAATAGTTTAAATCCATTTTAGATACTCCAGAAGTAACAGTATAAAAGGTTCATATGTTCATTTATACTGCAGACCTAATTTATTATAAATAAGTGATTATTCTTAGCCATTATTAAAACAGTCAGGAAAAAACCCCAGTATTCTCTGCACCAGCTTTTTAAAGGAAAACAAGTAAAAAAAATTGTATTTCTAGATTACAATGTATCCAGTGTAGCTTCTTCTTTACTGTTCTAACTTTATATAATCCCTTTGATGTTAGAGCATGTGTTGGATTTTTTTCAAAAAAGCCTCCCACCATGTTAAGGCTCTCAGGCAGTGTGTTTTCAAGGCAGTGCTTTCAAATGTGGGCTGGGTAGGTCACATAACTTTTTTTAAAGTCATGGGCTGAGGTTCTTAGGAAAAAAATAAAATTTCAACAATATGTCATTTCATGTTTTGCATTCCAGTCAGCTTGAGTTATGTATGACAGAAGAACTTTCTTATCATTAACTTCTGTTGCACTCACCTTAATGCACCTTTGAAAATTGTATCAGACCACTTCAAGTAATCTGTGGCTCAAGTTACACAACACAAATCCCATCTGAACTGTTGAATAAGACTTGCAGCAGGAGGCCGTGTGTTCCATAGCTATCACATCCAATCATAAAGGCCTTTTTTTTTTACAAGAAACCCACTTCAATATCAGTGCAAAATACACTATAGATGTGTTCTTCTCGTGGTGTTCTAACATCCAGGCTTTTAACTAGTCTAGAAGTTAACTATTTTTAATTAGGTAAATGCAGTTTAAAATAGTGTTACTTCTTTCCAGTTTTTATACTGTATGTAATAGTTGTCTCAGCAATGTTACCGTGTTGGGAGAGGAGGCAGCTCATCCCTCTGTTCCTGCCTGAGCACTGACAGCAACTGCGCCCCTGGGGGCTGTGAGAGGGACTCTCCCAGCAGGGGCTGTGCCCACTCACCTCTTACAGCCAGACCTGCACTCAGGCCAAGAGCACCAAGCCTGAGCTGCACAGAGAAATGAGGCTCCAGCTCCTGAGCGGCCTGGCTGTGACCAGGAGGCAGCACAGGACCAGCTGCACCCAGGACAGGCAGAACTGTGAGGAGCAGACAAGCACATCTGCATGTTTACATTAAAAACTAAAGCATCCAGAAACTTTTCACAGATAGTTCAAACTCCTGCACATGAGGTACATTTAGGGCAGCACCAGTATGTAAGTACAGCTCTTGGCTGAGCAAGTAGAGCTCTCTACTTACACAGCTCGGTTACAAATGCACAAATTAAAAGAATTCCTGTATGCCTACCATGTTATTCATCCTCTGGGCAAGACTGTTAAGACTGTCCTGTGCTCATGGCTCACAGGCAAGAGCAGACTGAGGGCTTTACACCTCCTCACTTTGACCAAATCTGTAGCACTACCTCTATACCAAGGAAAGCTTTACAAATACAAAGTAATATTCTTACTGAGAGACTCAATGCACCTGAGCTAAGCAGCTCACTTTGGAACTAGGGGGAGGAGAGAACAGGTACTCCAGGCATGTTATCATGGAATTTGCAGCTTCATGAATGACATTTCATTTAAACAGATAATCACTTTTATTCTTATAAACCCATTGCTTTTTCAAAAACTGCACTGTCAGTCAGCTTTCATTGGAGAGGGCAGATCAAAGATACCTTTATGCAGGATCCTAAGGAACTCTTAAAGAGAAACATCTTCTAAACAATTATCCCTCAGCAATACATTAGGGGCACATTTAACTTTACACTTTATTCACACTTCATTCACACTTCCCACTCAAGATCTGTGTAAAAACTAAAAACAACAAAACACTAAACAGGTCCTAAAGAGCAGCACTTTGAACTATAAGAACCTGGGAAAAAAAGGCTTCTTGCCCAGAAATGGAATGTGTTTTATTAGCAGTCAGTGTGCTTTCTGCTTTACAGGAGGAAGATCTTAAATGATACCTTTCTTCCATTGATGTCTGTGCCCTTCAAAGCCGCAGACTGCACAGCTACTTGCTTTCTGGCAAACCTCAAACTATCAAAGATAAAATATAAAAAATCTAGGAGCACATAACATTCATTTAGACAGTTGAACCAAATCTTTAAAAGTTATTTTTCCTGGACTAGTTGAATACAAAGGACAAAACAAGTTACAACATTTAGAAGAGACTTCAAAAGTAAATTCTTTCCTTGGGCTTCCTTGTGCCAAGTTCCAGTAGAGGATGAAGTTCAACTAAAGCACTGTGGTCTTGTGGCTACACTGAAGTCTGGGAACTAGGAGAATTTTGGGCCTTATCCAGCCATAGTCACTCATGTATGATCTCAGACAAGCCTTTCAATCATTCCTGTTGATCTTAGCTGACATATTTTAAAAAGAAACAAAACACACACACAAAACCCACAAACCAACACAGGTAAATGCAAGACCTCACAAAATGCAGGTGTTGTATCTGATTGGAGTGCTGAGCAATTGTGAGTAACAGGGGGGGGTGAGAATATTAACTCACCACACAGCTCCCACGCAGCTCGTGGCAGTGGTTGTGCTCAGCTGCTTCAACACACAGGCCCTCCCTCTCGCTGAGAGCCAGCAGCAGATACTTCCCAGAATAAAATGGTCATGAACAAGACTGGTTTTCCCATTTTCTGTTCAGCTACCATCATCCTCTCCCGTCTCATGCCATCCCCCTGGCACTCATCGATAGGAAACAAGCAGCAACTAGTACTAGATGATATCTCTGATAAGAAAAGCTTAACATTTCAATTGTCATGCAGCTCCTGTTTAAGATAAATTTAAGTGACATGTTTCTGTGTCTTGGAACACCCTCTTGGTTATCCATTCAGGAGGCACTTGGCTGCAAGCAGTGTAATGCTGCGTGTAAATGCGTTTGCAGTTATATTGCAGTGAACAGCTTTATTCCTGGACTTACTCTGTGGTGCTTGAAAAATCTAAATTTGACTTAGAAAAACTTGTCAGCTCCACTAACTAGAGGAAAAAAATATGAGTAGGAGACAGCATTTTTCTGTTATGTGGAAATCTGACGTAATGTTTGTGGATTTTGGTTCTTAAAATTGTATTAAAGTCCTTCTGATTTTAACACTGGAATTATTGGCAACAATCCACCTCATCTCAGAAAGTGTGTGTATCTAAGCAAATGATACCAGTTTAACTGCAGGTATGACTTAAATGACTAATATCATTAAAGCCAGCACAATCCACACTGGAGATGTTTCCATTTTGTTTAAGGGGTTTTAGTTTTTTAAACTACAGCTTGTAAATACCCCTAATCCTTTTGAGCAGCTGGAAATTGCTGAGTATAAAGAATTCCCACAGAAGGACTTTTGCTGATCAATGTCAGCCTGGAGTAACATTATGTAAAAAGCCCTAAGACCTTCAAGTTCATAAATGAAATGCTGCTTGAATTTAGAATTCCACAGTTAAGGTTTTAAAATCTCAAGTTCTCTTTCTTCTGACCACATCCACCATTTTAATTCAAGAGCATGGATAAAACTTAACTACATTTGAACTCTGGGCAATAATCCTTTTTATAATTAACTGGCCCTTTTCAGCTGAAAATAATCCAGGCAGTTAATTGAGTGAGCTAAAGATGTTTGGGGTTTGGTTTCATTTAAAACAAAGCCAGTAACCACATGGTATGCTATAAAGAAGACAAACCAAAACAAGTTGTTTTCTGCCTGATGCACCTCATTTTCATTACAAGAATCTCTCAGGGACATCAGTGTATATTAAATAGCCAGATGTAATGAAGCTGGGGAAAGACTACATGAGCTTTTCTAATTTGTGATTTACAAAATTCTAGTGTTAGCCATACTTTCAGGTGACATCCTTCTGCTTCAGCCTCCTTGGCTGAAGGTGCCTCAACCTCAGCAGTACCTCTGGCAGCATTACTGGGGAACAGGGGAAGGTTAAGGACCTGTTTGTGGAGGGTTTGTTCTTTAGAATATGCTCCTTCTTGAATCCTGACCTATGTCTACAAGCAATACACCAATGAATCATTTGGAATTTGTGGCCATCACACACCTACCCAAGTATGTGAACAGCTCTAAATAGTTAATTTTCTGCTGGCAGGTGCTCACATAACCCAGTCCTGATACCATAAAACTTCCTGAAGCTCTCATTCCTTAGACTTAACAAAGTTCCCAAATCAGATTACCTTTTTCCTATTTAGTTGTTAGAATTTAGTCTGGTGAGTGTTTTTAAGAGGCTGTGAGCAACTCTGCTCCCCTGGATCCAGGTATATTGCTAAAAAAATACCCCCCCAGTTGTTCATTCTATCTGCTAAGGATTACCATCCTTTCAAGTCACTGTAGAGGTGCGTGTACAAGAGCCTGTCAGCTCCTCCAACCTGATTGCCTGAGCTGGCATCCCTGGATCCCTCACCCAGCTGGCACTGCCAGTGAGGGGAGGGAATGCTCATTAAAGCAGCCCAACAGTAACAACTGCAGGGGCTGCTGATCGCAGCTGTTCAGAGACTCCACACTCACTTCACACCTTTCATACTCCCACCTTGTCTGGCTACCCCAGAGAGCAGCCAAAACCAAAATGTTTTCTTTCTGCTTCCATATTTTTGACAGTACCCAAGAATCCAACATTTAGGACTGCAGGACCACCAGAAACCCTTGCTCAAATTTGGGCAGAGGTAACATCTGAGATCTAATCATCCAAATCCCAGGAGAAAGCCTCCTGCTTTGGAACAATATGGAACAGATAAATACATCTTCATTTATCTAAGAAGAAAAGCAGACTGACCTGGTTCAGGGCCATAGTTCCTCGCAGATACTGGAACCTCCCAGTAGCCCAAACTTGCACCTCTTCTTAGTATTCTGTATTGGCTAGAGTAAGTGGCAATCACTTAAACCTTCTGACTTCTCTAAATGCCATTCTTAAGTACTCAACACTCTCCAGGCATAGACACTTCAGATATATGGGCACCATGGGATAGCAGGATACAGCTATGTAAAATTTACATCCAGTTGGAGATGCAAACTCATCTATGCAGAGACTTTTTCTGAGAAAAAAATGAGTCTTTAACAGTGAGTTGGTTTTAGCCTCTTCTCATTATCCAGGCTGAGTGAAACAGAGACATCCATCCCCAGCAGTGCCTGGCTCGTGTGCTGTCCATGAAGCAGCAACGGCTCCCCCATAGGAGGCAGACAGCCAGAGGGAAAAACACCATATCCACAGCCCCTCCTGATGACATTTTCAGGTCACAGCCACAAAAGTTAAAACAGTGATCAGAAAATAGGAAGTCCACAAAATCACTCTCCAGTCTTTTTAGTGGGTTTGTTAAATTCCTAATGTAGCTTTAACAATTAGTGGAGTCCGCTGTGCTAATGCAGGGCACATTCCCTTGTCTTAAAGGCCAGGCTGTATATATGAGAAATACTTCAGAGAAGTATATACAAATGTTATGACACTGTATCTCACAAGCACCTACTGTGAAAAAGTTAATCCTGCTTTGAGCAAACCTGTAAGAAGTAGGGTATGAGTTCGTCCTTGTTCCTCAGGCCCTGACTGCAAACAATGCCCCTGGACCAAGGCAGCAGCCTCTGTGTTTGCATATCCTACATGGCATCAGGAGTAACCAGCAAGTACAGGCACAGCTTTGCACCAGTACATGTCTGTTGGCACTGGGGTGCCCTGGCAATGAGGGAATGCTCATGTGCCCTCAGCTCCTGTTTTGGAGGTGCTGCAACATGCAAAAGGCAGGGCCGTCCCTCCGCCCCCCCAACAGTAGCACTTTTTAATATCCACTGTATTCTACATGGAAGTGAGTTGTAGAGATGCTTCCTTTTTATATTTAAATGGAGAAACCACTTGAAAGTCCGTTAAATTTTTAATTAAATAAAACTTAATTTTTTTTTTTTAAGAATGAGGCCAGTCATGGACAAAGCTATTTTATGACCTCCTTCAACACTGAACTCAAAGTAGGGTTTGTAAACGTGGTGGGTGGGAAGAGACAAATCCAATATAAGGATGCTGACTCTTTGAGATTTGAAATTCTAATTATTTTTTAATCTACTCATCTTGCTCTCCCCCTCTCCCAACACAAAGCATCACATGAACCCTTCGGTGGAAATTTTTTTTCCTTTTCTTGTGTTAAACTCCTATGACTTCAGGAAAGTCAAAGTTGCTCATTCATTTTAATTTTTCAATTCTCCATAGATTTCTTTCTTTGCAAATACCTATAAATTATAAGCTAAAGTTTTATTTTTGCAGAAAGTCTGCTATTAAGCTATGCTGATTTTTTTGTCCTGATCAAATAGTGTTAATTTCTACTACCACATTGGACATGGCTAGGAGTAGTGTAAAAAAAAAATGTGGTAGTATTTTATGTGCTTTAAACACTGACAAAGGTATAAAGAGAAATGCATATACAAAGTTTTACTTTCCTAGCAGGAACACTGGCATTAGCAAATAGTATATTTGAACCAATAGGAAATATTACTTTGTAGTAGAAAACACTTTGTAAATAAAAACTTGTTATTTTTTTAATGGAAATTTTATAGAAGCCTTTTCTGTATACTCAATCCCATGTTTACTGAAAATGCTGCAAATGGGAATTGTACATTGCAAAATGGGGGTGGGGAGCAGACAGTCTGACTGAGGTGAAAGTCGTGTGTGCTTTGGAGAAAAACATCCAGTTGTCTGTGAACAGAGATGTAAAGCTTAACTGTAGAAGAACTGAATAAAAGACTTTCAAGGCAACAGGATTGGGCTTGTTTTTGAGAAAAACACTGTAGAAAAAGGTTGCACAAGGTTAATGCTGACAGTATGTACCTTATTTAAAAAAAAAAAAACACACCCTATTTGACATAGGAAATATTGCATGCTTTGGTTTTGAAATAAATATCAAAATCTAGCAATTGCATCCTCAATAGGTTCATTATCCAGGGAGAGATGCCAGACTTTGGAAATTGTTCCATTTTGATAACTCACAAAATTCTTAGGGATATTATTGTCCCTGTCTATTCAAGATATGCACCCAGTCTAAGAGTATTCTAAGTACCTCAGAAACAGCTCAGCAGTTTCCATGTCCAGCTGAAGGCACATTTCACACAGGCTTCGCTCTTCCTGTGGAACAGTGTTTCCTCAGCACGCTGTACTCCAGTCCTCCTGTGTGCTCCCCATGTCTCAGGCCAAATCCTGTGAACACCCTTCAAGCACCTATAGACTCTGAACTTATATCCTTCTAAACCCTTTCCTCATATTTTGGCAGCAAGAATCCAAATCAGACTAATTTAAGTAGCATGAAATACAGTTCCTCTTCATCCTCTGTGTTGGTTTTCCAACTCTGCTGAATATGAAAACACTGAGTAATGTCACAGTGCTTGTTTTTCCCCATGTGCACAGAAGACCCACGACTCACTATTTTTAAACTGAAACCAGCTGAAAGTAAAGGTTAAAGACAATAGCAGAAGACTTGCAAAACTGTGAGTTCATTCTTCTGTAATAAATAGAAACTATCACAGGCCCCTTTCATTGAAATGCACTGGTATATTTGGGAAGGCATTTTCATTAACAGATTTGGCAAATAACTAGCTAAAAACTCCTGCAATGTCTTTTTCATAGGAAAGAAACTGAACAGATGCGAGGATACAATCTTTATCTCAGCAATTAAAATATTTATGACTTATTTATGCTTATTAGAAAAAAAGTTTAAGAATCTGTACCTTCTTTTGTGTCAGCACTGCATAAGTTGCTACCAGAATGATTTTGAAACATTAAACTGATGGTGAGGCTCCTTGGAATATTCTCCTCTAAAGAACCTAAAAGGAGAGGTTTTTGTGGTAAGCTACATTATTTCTTTGTGCTTTGTTTTCACCTGGGGATCTCCTCCCCAAGAACCCAACACAGCAACTGAGAGAATATTGAGAGCATAAAAGCTCTGATCATCTTTCTTCTTCTAAGGAAGAAGTACCTGGCATGGATCCCTAAGAATGGAGGAGTCTGCAAATAACACTCTCTGAAATTACAAATGCTTCTGGTTAAAATTTCTTTGACTGTCCAACCAGACAGCATCATACACACTGGTTTATGCTTTTCTTCACATCAATAAATCTGTTTCCTAAGTGATGGCAACTGCTGCAGCATCAAGTGCTATTCTGTGCTACAACAAGTATTTTTCCTGGTTAAAAATAACACTCTTTAAAATTGTATCTTGCTGAATTCCACACATTCTGTTATAAAGCAAAAATATCTCAAAATATTCAGGGAAACCAGAACACCAACCCCCCCCCCCCCCCCCCAAATTGTGTAGGTTTATTATTCATTAAACTTTGTCTCAACCCCAAGTGTAGGATAGGAGATCGATGTGAACAATACTTCACTGTCACAGTGCCCTGTCACGAGTGCTGTCCCTGGCTCCCTGTGATCCGTGTAGGTTGCTCCTGAACGCAGCTCAGCTCCAGCCCCATCCTTCGCCTGCCTGGGAGGGACCTGGCTCTGCTCTGGGGGTCCTGCCTAACACCAAACCCTGTTCTGCTGCTCTGACTGTAAACCATTGAAAAGGCTGAAAAACCTCGTGTCCGTGGGACTGTCCCCATGCTGAAACCACTGTTCAGGGGTAACAAAACAGAAGAAACTTTCCTATATATTTCACAGAACTCCTCCTCTGTCACAATGGCTAGAACAAGTCTGGCAGACTAAAAAACCCACAGGTTGTTGAAGGGTTTGCATTGCTGCCTGCTGGGTCCTACAGCTGCCCCCGGATAACCCACTGCAGGCTTGGGTTTGTAACGTTTCAAAAATCCCTCAGAACTCACAGACCCATTAAAAAACTGAAAACCATTGTCCCAGGCAGAGCCGAGCAGGAAGTGATATAAAAGCCTGCAACAATGAGATGACAACAAAAGGAAGAAGTAGGCAAACAGAAGGGTGTGTGTTCTTCAGCATAAGGCAGCAAACAGAGCTACAAAATGACAAAATTATCTAAGCACCCTTTTGCAAGACATGAAACCACACAACCAATATCCTCCTTTGGTTCAAATGACCATTGCTAACCCAAGCTTTCATCATCTTGACATTAAAGTTCACATTATGCAGCAATGACAACATACAAATATTAGATTTAACTAATCTATCACCATTATCTGAACAACAGTTTTCAAATATTAAATAACAGAAATTCCATTTACCACCATATTATGTTAGAGCAGAAGATTGCATTTTTACAGCAGCTGCTGGCACAAGTAAGATAGTTATTTTTAATAAATAAGCACCACAAGGACATAAATGTCTCGGCACATTCAGCAGTTAAAAACCATTTCAAACGAGTAAAGCCCACGACAATGTCCTAGCATTGACCTGTGTACAATTCCTGCCTCCGGCTTTGCAGAGTGAAATTCAAAGAGCACGCAGAGCTCTCAGCGCAGGCCCAGGCTGAGGGCACGGACCACGACCAGTCCCTGCAAGGTGAGGCAGGGTGTGAAGGCCCCAGCCAGCCCAGCTGACCCACGGCAGGGTGGAAGGCAACTCACAGCCCCAGAGCAGTGGCACGGGGCTGTCCTGCCGGTGGCAGGGCGGTTTTCGCTCCCGTTTCCCAGCAGGCAGGGTCTCCTCCTGCGCCACCACCGACCCGCGCAGGTTCCGAGCGCCTTCCCCGCCCGGCCCCACAGACCCTGCGGGCCGAGCCCAGGCGGCACCGCCGGGTCCTGCACCGCCCTCACACCCTCGCTGAGGCGCCGGCCCGACAAGGACGGCGGTGGCAGCCCCTGTCCCTGTCCCTCCCTCCGTACCCGCGCTCCGCCCGCCCGTGAGGGGCCTGCGCTCGCCCCTCACCCGGTACCGGCCGCAGGGGCGGCTCCGGCCAAAGGAAACGGGGCATAGAACCCTCCTCCAAGGGGCCTGAACAGACTGAGAACCTGGAGGCAAACAACAGCTAAATCCACCTTTCTATAAGCACTCCTGATTTTTGAGGAGTTTGGAATTAGAGCTTGACGGGAAACGCCCCTTCACGCAAGGGAACCTCTGAGCACCAGTCCGTGGTGCCGCAGCAGGAGACCCCAGTGCCAGAGCCCCGTGTTGGTCTGGAGATGGCTCAGGGGGCTCAGATGAACCCTCCTCTCCCGAGGATCCCCTCCTGCTCCCTCCTGCACACAGAGGCACAGCCACCCTCGGGAGCTGGGCCCAGCTGCCGTGATCCACTCTCACAAGGCACATTGCAAAGCCTCCATCAGAATTTAGGACTTTTATAGGAAATTCCAGAGCCTGAAGCATGTGTAGGTCATCACTGTCCAGCTTTTAAAATTAAGAGCCTAGTTTTATTTAAAAATAATTAAGAAAAAAGTGGCCAGTACCCAACGGTTTCTCATAGATGCTTTGACCAACTCTTCTTCGAAAGCCCTCCACATCAGTGCCTGGGACTTGTCCAGCTATTAGTCTTTTTATGGGCTCTCTAACTAGATTGATGGAGCCACTGCCATAAAAAAGTGACCTCTTACCAAAAGATTGTTACTTCAAAATTCTGAACATATGATCACTAATACAGAGTAATCGTGACTGGAAGAAAATATTAATATGAAGTGTGTGAAATCTGTATGGTATTAATTGGGGAAAAGCAAATCTCTGAAGGTGAAAATCCTTAACTGTTCTTGGAGAGAAAAAAATACAAACAGCTCTAGAGAATCTGCAGACAAAACCTTCAAGATGGAAAAAGATGCAAAACACTTTTTTTTAAAATTATCATCATCTTAACATGAAGATAACATTTCCACATTACCATAACAAAGCCATTAAGTATTAATAATACTAAATTAACCAAATTGTAGAAGCAGCTGCTATACCTATTGCTAATAAGGTATGTTTGTGTGAGATGTAAATTAATTCAGCTGCTGGCTGTTTGCAGTCAGGCTGGCCAGGCTGATGTAAGCCCGGGGAAAGCCCAGGATTTTTATTGTTATTACTTTCAAGCCTTCTCACCTTTGATATTTTCTCATCATCTCATTAGCATGACTAAAGCCAAGTTCTAAACATTCTATCCAGGCTTACAAACTTTTATTTCATGTTCTGCCAAGCTCCTACCTACCGTTTTCTGTCAGCAGGCAATATATTAAGACTATTAAATTAAGATTGAATGTGATAGAGTTGTTCTGTCTGGGGTCCATTGCCAAATGACTGAGTCAACTATATCAGAGCACTTATCAGACCAGTATTTGTTGGCCTTTGAGCAGCAAAATGAGGAGCAGAAGCTTTTGCACTGGCCAAGACCTGATGAGGTTTGTACATTAACTGAAGACCCTTCCAGCCCATCTAACTGTCCAACTGTGTGTTCCTGACATGGTTGGTACTGAGCCATCTACTTATCTATAGGAAATGGGTGATTGGCACGATGACAGATGGGTATATATACCACTGGAGATACAACAATTCCAGGAAATAAAGCAGCCCTGGCTGCTGAAGATTTTTCAGAAATAACTGCACAGTTCAAAGAACTCTTGCCAGACTCATTAATTAATTAACAAGTATCCCTATTTCAAACTTTTGGAAAAATACATCCACCAAGCAGTACGTTTTCTGATTAATAAACTGTTCATAAGTAAAAAAAATACACTGCACTAAAAGATAATTAAAAAATATAATAATAATTTAAAAAGATAATTGCAGCCAAGATGTACTCCACTCTGATTACTAATGAAATAATCCCTTCCCAAGTGGGAGTTTTCTATTCAACTAGTTAAACTTGCATTAGAAAAAGCTGATAAGAAAATACCAGTAGCAAGAAAAAAAAATACAAGAGACTGCCCTTACCAGTGTTCAGACTCCTAAAAGATAAAAAACCTGAAAATGTAGTGAAGTACAAGGGCATAGAAAAGAGTGGGCCAACAGACATTCCTAACCAAGCGAGTCTGGCTCCATGGGCACAGGAGGCACATCCAGCAGAACAAGCATGCACACTGAAGGTGATACTAAGTACCTCCAGAATTAATTTTCCTTCCCATTTACACGTTTTTGTAACTCGGTAAAGAGGGTAAAATACTGCATGAATTGAATACCTGGGAATGTGCTGAAGTTATGAAACAGTCCCACAAAAGAGGGAAAATGCCAGTACCGTGTCCTGCTCAGTGCTCCCCGGGCACGTTGGTGTTAAACCGAACAGCAGTGGCCGCTCCTGCCGGCAGAAACTGCAGAGACTTGTGCGCTTACCCCCACAAACGCCCACTGGCCATTACTAATCACCAGCAACCATTCAGTCAGAGGAAGGGCTATTACAGATTGTTAACTCTACACGACTTCCAGAGTACTGTGTCTGCTTGCTCTCAAGAGGAGCTCGGTAAGCAGGGGAAACACAGAGTGCATCTCTCGCAAAGGAGTTTGGAGTCGTGCGCCTGAGCTCCCTGCAGACAAGAACAATGTGAAACTCCTGACAAGCCAGGCAGGCAGCTCTGGCTCAGCAGATAGCAGGGACATGAACTGAAGGGGCAAAGACATCTCGCAATTCCACAGCCATTCATGTCCTAGGGAGATTTCGGAGAGCTCTCTTGTCATGTTTTAAGCCGTGGCTGCATTTCTGTTTGTCAGAGTGCATTTGCTAGTTGCACTGCTGAGTTGTTATATGCAAGTCAGCCTACAGCAGTTTCCAGTAATGGCATCTTATGCAACTTCTGACCTACTTTAACACATTGGAGCACTTGGAAACACGAGATCCACTGCAGCAGCTTTTTGCTTGACAGTGTTACACTGCAGCAGGAAGCAAGTCTTTAGACAAGCACAGGGATCCAAAAAAATACAGATGAGACATTAATTTTCAAGGTATTCTTCAAACCATTAGGAGCATCCAGATCAATCATCATACGTATTATTTTCAGCTAGAGACAGTTCACATTATTTCAAAAAGGTCAAATGTTCAAAAATCAGTAAATGTTACATATGCACTGACCTGTGTGCTCTTTCTCAGCCTGTCTAGGCTGCAGTTTCCTGAAGAACACCTCAGGGAGGGTTTGTGTGTGATGGGTTATCAAACACAACAGGCTTTAGCAATACAGAAATCTTTTGTTTTGCTCCCCCAGCCAGATGTTGCAGAAGGAAGGTGTCTTCTACATATCCTCCCACACTCCAGCAATAAATGAAAGGTCTTTGAGAACTAAAGGTCTTATCAAAGAGGATCTTCGATACTCTTACTGATTACACTACCAAGTGTGAACAGCTGGGGACCTAAACACTGCTAAAGGAAAGACAGCAAATAGAATTATTTCTACTACTAATCAGAACTAAGCCTTGAAGAAAAGTAGTAAGAAAACATTGGAATTAGCATCCTTTCCTTCTCCCACGTAAGAAGCAGGACTCTGGACACATTCCACTGTGTGGAAATTTCAAATTTGTAATTCGATTAAGGCGTCTGACTAGTTACTTGAGTGGCCCTGCAGACACTTGTCACTGCAAACTATGTTAAAGTTCAAGATCTACAGAGCACTGCAGATCTTCAGACCAATGCTGGAAAGGTTGCTTTGTTTTGTTGTTTCCTTTTGCCCTTCCCAGGTTGTTATTAAGGAAAGGCTCTAGCATGACTGAAGCAAACACAATACGCGCCATTGTGACTTCTCCCATGCAGACAAAAACGTCCAAATGATATCCAGTATTATTCACCAACAGCTGCTTTACCTCGTTTCTTTAATACATACTTATCACTCTTGCCCTGCCATTTCAGTATAACTTGTACCTCATTACTACAGTGCCCAAATGATCCTTCTTTTACTGTTTCCCTGCAATGCCTTGGCTTTAGGTGAGGTAAACTCTCAAAACTACAAGCATTTTGGTGCACTCTTAGTTTGGGGTCATTACTTCTCTGTCAAATTGCAGGGGTTTTATGAAATGAAGGTTGCTATTCACTGAGTTCTGCTTTTGTGTCCTTTCAGATAACTAATAAAATTAAAAGGTGTTTCAGGCTTCACATGTAGGTTAAAGCATCACCTTGAACCACAGTGCAAACTCTTCTAAGCCCGTCAGCTTAAAAACAAGGAAGTTACTATACAATTCACTGAAGCATTACAAACCTTCCCTGTCCTGTGCCTTACACCCCCCAAATCCTAACCACTCCATGGTATATCCTCCTTAACAGCTATTGTGTTACCTTTGGGGAAAAAAGTCTCCTCAATCCACAAGCACATGGAGCTATCAATCCAGACTGATGGAACTACCTATAGGAACATTTTCCCTCTTTCAAAACTTACATCCTCCTGCCACACAACCTCCTTTCTCTTCCACAGCACAAGGGTTGTCAGCCCGGAGATGAGACTGCACCACAATGAACCTGCAAGGCAA